TGAAGTCCAGGTAGACCATTAATAGCTTTCACAGTCACTCTCCCTTCCAAAATCCTCCCTAGGTCAAACCAGCAGTCATCTGCTTGAAGCCTATCTGTTCTATCTTTATCCAGGAGCTAGGCTAGCCCTGCCTCTTAACCAAAACTGGCGTTGCTTCACTTTCTGAAGACGTTAACATCTCCGTCATTTGCATGCAGGGGACAGTATTTGTTCTAAAAAAATTTAAGAACATCTTGACCATCTTTCTTCCTGCCTTACCCTTCCAATAATGAATGCAACTTCAACATTCCAGTTGAAGTTATCTTCAACTCAGAGTAGAGATTGAAGCAACCCCCTCCCCACCCCCAAACTTCCTGCCTTACCCTTCCAATAATGAATGCAACTTCAACCTTCCAGTTGAAGTTATCTTCAACTCAAAGAGTAGGGATTGAAGCAACCCCCTCCCCACCCCCAAAAAAAAGTGAAATAGTGCTCTATATCTGCACCAGTGTTTAACTAGCCAGTAGCATTTGGTACAGAAAGGGTCATGAACAGCATACTTCTGATGTTTTTATTGGTCATAGGCAACGTTACAAAGCAGTTACACTGAATAATGCTGTCACAGTCATATCATAATGTGAGGTTGCTACAACACATTTAAATTTCACACAGTGAAACTACTTTAGAGAAAAAAGTCATGCTTGTAACAGAAGATCAAGAAAATACATTTGGTTAAAAGAAAAAATGGTCCCAGGATTTCAGCCCGCTCAAACTGAAGTTAATGGAAAAGTCCACTGACTTCAGCAGGCTTTGAATCCAGCCTCCAACAGCCCCTGACCAAGCTGTAAGGTAAAACGCCTCTCTGCTTGGTCACAGGCTCTTCATTCTTCTAACATACTTGTGCGTGACGTATTTTCTTCTTTTTAGATGAGAAGAACATAAATGTGTAAATGACTATGCCAAACTTTATACATAACAGAGCCAATTTTGGCTCATCAGCTTTAGAGAGAGTGGAAGATTACAAAGGTTATAGCATGTCTACTGGAAAAGGAGGGAGTTCCTACACTCCTGAGTGCCTGTAGCAGCTGTTTGTGTAGCCTGAAAGCTTCCAAGAAAGCTCATTACATCCTTCAGAATTTGCATCTGGCAGTGTCTGCATTCAAAATGGGTAACTTATGCAAGCTGGAATTTGGATGATGTAGCACTAAGAACAGCTACAAATGCAGCTAGGATCTGGTCATTTGCTGCCAACGGACAACTGAATGGCCTATGGGCATTTACCGTAGTGATGAGATGTGCCATTAGAGAAGATCATCTTATCATTCTAACGAAGGCAACAATTATTGTCCAAAACTACCTTTTCTTGACAAAAATGGGATTTCAAAACCACAGCTGACAAAATCATGCACCAAATTGAGAAAGACATCTTTGCTTCAAGAAAGCAAAATCTTTTCATCAAATCTAAGTTTAGTTTGAAGTAAGATCATTATTTCTGGGAGCTCAGAGATCTTCCTGAATTAATTTCTTCTGATTTGCAGGTGACTTGATGCATCCTATACCTGCTTGTTCTGAGGATGCATATACAACATGCAAATTGTGCATCAAATTCTCCTTCAGTGTTGGAGACACCAGAGGGCAGCAACATACCAAGGCTTCCCAGCTAACAGAACTCCTTTAGCCAGGCGTCTTTTCCATGTTGGGGAAGCTTCAGTTACCAGCTAACCTCAGTATAGCTTCTCGCACCATAACACTGCATTATTTTATGAGACCCAAAGCTCAGAATGTAATTCATGCTTCAAGGAAAGCCGGAGTGAGAGGTGCTGTTTATATTTCAATGGTCACCAAGAATGTAGTTATCTCCCAGAATTGTATTTGCTAATTATCTACATTTTTAAAGTAGAATATTGATCACAACCCATGCTTTATAAACTTCTCCTTCTCCAGTGCATATAAAAGATAACATTTTTGTTCGTGTCTCAGACTATGAAGATCAAATGTTGTTAGCATTTAATAATGGACATGGTTCTACCACATTCAAGTGGGAATGACAGGAGCTGCCATCCTGTGTTACATACACAGTCCATCAGGAGTCCCTGAGATACAAATATGGCACCCACTCTCCTCCCTACTGGCATTTTGGTCAAGAGTTCTCAATAAATGTTCCAGCTTATTTTAAAAAAATGTTTTCATTAAAAACAGTCTATTTACAAATCAGTTGTGAAATGGATAACAACATTCCATAGGAAAAATCAGACCGTTTCAAAAGTTGGTAAATATGTTTTTAACTGTAAAATCTCAGATATCGGCTGTTTTCTGTCTTGATAGAAGCTGAGTCCAGTAAGTAATTCTATATCTCTGATCCGAGCTGTATGAAACTTCATTCTCTCTTCAACCCACGTGGACTCAGACTTGCCATCCTATTGGGACCAGAAGAAGAAAAAAAGGGGTTGTAAAACATCTTTTTTTTTTCCTGATATACATTTAATCAATTAGCAAAAGACATTTTGATACTTTATAAAGACAGAAAGCAGTAACTGTTGGACAACATCTAAGAAAGAGCACTGGATTATAAATAGTTATAAACTTGCCTGAATTTAGTACTTGCTCTTACTTCCTCAAGTATACAGAACTTGTAGCTGCACCAGTGGAAGTTGGTGATAAAGGGGAATGGCAGCTGAGGTCCAGCATCTATCTACCATCTCTGATAAAACTATTTCTGAGAGCTGTGCCTGACTTGGGCAGTGACTTGTGCAATCCTTCACTGTAGGTTAGGTCTACACACTTTCCATGCTTTGTTCTGGTTTACATGGAGTGCAGCTACGTGCATTCTCATCACAATACCAAGGTACCTGAACTAGAAGCAACGAATGCTCTTCAGGAACATCTGTGTCTTCTCCTTTTGGGTATGCATTTGGCCTAGCACTGACCTTTCTTTGTGAATGACTCATCTTCTCCTACAAGCTCTTCATCCTTCTCAGCTGTTGACTGGATATTTGCGCTACAGAAGTCTACGTATGTAACACACTGATGGTCTCAACATACTCTGACTCTACCCCACTAGCTACAAGTTTTGCTCTTTGATCAGGGAACTTCTATTTCCACATTTGAGCATATATACATATACATAACAACATAATTCTGTTTACAAAAATATTGTCTTCTCTCAAGATGATCATGACAGACTGTACCATTTTTACAGTCTTTAACTAGTTAATCACTGATATCCAAGCAAAACAAGCTCAAGCCTGACTTCAGATGTTTAGGGGGACAGAATAGGCTACTTACTGCACAGCTTTCACTGTTGTCTTCTCTGTGAGGTACAATGAAAGACAAGGCATCTAGAGCCCCTTCACACTCCAGAGGAGTTTCAGAAGTATTTTTACAACTAGTCAGCACAATGAAGAAGTGAGTTGGAACTGGAACTTCTGAATTACTGGGGTGTCTGAAACACAAAAGATCTTTCTGTAAATCCACCAAATCATAGTTGCACAAAGAACAAATGACAGCAATCAGCTATATCAATTTTACATATCAATTTTAGCCATTCACCTATTTAGCCCAAAGAAAACTTATGCCTGGAAGGAAAATTCCAGATTATTGTTTTGCAAATCAAGTTTGGCTTGTAGGCTGATCTAAGTAACAAGTTTGATGAGGTATAACAACAAACTGATTTATCATAAAGATGTGTAAGAATCCAGAGTAGATGGAGAGCTCAGCCCAAGCCCAAAAAACCATCTGCCTGCTGGCTTGAACCAATTTTGCTAACTAGTGTATTTGTACTCACAACTTTGTACTGGAACACTGCCAGCTCAGGAAGTGTCAACCATGACACCAGGGATAAGCCCCTGCCTCATCCACTCCTACAGGCAATGTCATAAGATTTCAGGCTAGCGGACATTCCTCCACATGCAACTGCTTCTCTTACACTTCACCTTCAGTTTTTAGGATGACACGTTTTGAGGGTGCATTTTCTCTTTGTGCTTGTTGCTTATTTCTTAGCTTTAAACTTCTGTATCTGCTTAGGGCCATTTGACTGTCTCTCTGAACTGATATAACCTCCCAATGGCCCATCTCCGCAAGATGCTTTCCTTGATAACAAGGATCATAATTAATTTTTGACCACTAATGGAAAAAAGAAACAAAGGATTAGAACGTGAAAGGTTCCCACCTTTTCACCTTTTCTGGGGTATCATAGAGCCCATCAGAGTCATAATCAAACACAGGACCACTGACTACATTGACACCGCTCCTGGCTGCAGCGTATTCAGGTAGCAGGTACTGATGGAAGTAGTTCCATAACACTGAAACACAGTAATGGAAGTGGGAAACAATCTCCAAGGTAGAAACTGTTAAAACAACTCTGCAGAGTCTTCAGTGGAGTATAAACAGACATGATAAGCTAGGAAAATAATAAATTATACAGGTGTTTACAGTTTTTAAGGGTTGCATCTAATTGAGCAGCAGCAGCATGCACTGCAGTATCTCCTAGCATTGTGGTGTCACAGGCACCCTAACCACAAACCTGACTGAGGCTATTTCCTTGTGGCCTTGGGTTTCTTTCCTTGGAAACCAAGTCACGGAGAGGCTAGAGGAGGGAAGGTGAGAGAAGACCATGCCTGCCTGTGTCTTGCCCCACTATAAAGTTGGCCTGGCTAGCTTGTACACCCACACCTATGAGCTGGGAAGTATCCTACTGATACGATATTTTTTATTACAGTTAAGAGTTGACCACTATTCCATTACAAGACAGGACATCTCTTTTGTCCAGAGGAAGTGCCATAGTTATCCTTCTTTTTTACCAGCAATATGCTTAATCTCCCTCAGCCAACCATCTTGTGTTCCCTCTCACCCAGGAAAGTCCAGGTCTTCATATCTTTTCTACTAGAGACACGATTATCTTACTGTTTCCTTAGTAATTGAGACCCTAGATTCCTGCCTGGAAACTCATCTGAGTTTAGAAGACATTCCTAAACTGGAAATGAATTTAACTCACATAATTATATATAGTGTCTGGGTTCTCTAGAAGATATTCAGTATAAAACCCTGTTTAGGGAGGTAGGAAAATGCAAACAAAAGTGTCAGACATTAAATGGAGACACTTATACTATGATCCCATGTAATGAGCCAGTTGATTAGGAATCATAAGCTCACAACAGTGGACCTTTTTCACAAGAGTGATAATCCTATTTCAAGGAACTTTTCATTGAGGTAAGAAGCCCACAGTTCGGGGAGGTCTTATTTTACAGAGGCAGCTGAACCAGGGATCATTTGCATGGTTTGGAAGCAAGCAAAAAAATCAGCAGTCTTTCTTATATTCAACTGTGCGCACAAAATATGCATACAAATAAAATACCTTTAAATGCAGGATACATTGGCACAATGTTGCTGGTAAGCAAGGCATCATAGTGAGGTTTCTTTGCATCTGTCATAAAATCTAAAATAAAAGAGCAATTCATTACTTGGATTTGTTACTTTAAACTTGCATTTTCATGCTTTTAAAGATTGGTGTAATAACACTAAGGTGGAGCTGACCTAACCTCACTTTCCAAAGCTGATGTGGGTCTAAATGCTAACTTCAGTACATGCTGGATCCCATCCAAAATAAACAATCTTATAAGCAGCAGCAGTAATTGCACTTGTCAGATACACAGTGGACAAATGTTCGTGAGATTTAAAAATATCAGAACAGAGTTTTGATTTGTGGGGAAGGGAATAAAATTCTCTTCATGAGTGTCAGGCCAACTTGTTCCAACTGCAGAATCTATGCATAAAAATAGAAGCTCTGCTGGAACTTTGCAAATTACACTTGATGTGGATGGTTAAATAACTTACTACTCGGTACTTTATGCAGTAAGGTCAATGTAAAATGCTCAACTTAAGGCAGAGCTCCATGCACCCCAGCTGGTCATTGACACAGAGGGCGACACCCCCTCCTTGTCTCCCCTGCCTGTCCTTCCTAAAGAGCCTGTATCCTTCCATTACAACCCTCCAGTCATAGAAGCCATCCCACCACATCTCCATGACGCCAGTAAGATCATAGGCCTGCAAGTGTGCGCACGTCTCAAGCTCCTCTTGTTTATTGCCTATGCTACGTGCGTTTGCATAGAGGCATTTAATGTCAAACAAAAACAAAATGTTTTTCTTTCTCATATGCTGAAGTGAACTGCAACAATTCAGCAACTACTGTTCCATACTGTGTTTAATTATCAAGAACATCTATAAAAGACTACATCTACTACGTTGCAAATTATTTAAATCGGATATGCTGTACAATGAAGGCAATGTACTTACCTGGAGGAGAAAGGAATCCGTAAGTTAGGTGAGGATGATTGTTGTAAAACAAACATGTCTGGTTATGATTAAAAGAAATACGAACATCCTTGTGTAAACAGCTGGAGATATCTTCTGTAGCAGAAACCCATTTGTCCTATTGAACAAGAAGAACAAGAAGAACAAGAAGAAAGTATCATTGGTAAAATGGATAGCTGACTTACAATAATTCTTACAATAATTACTTACAAGTATAGGGGCCTGCAGAACTCTAAGTATTTAGCTGCAACTGCCTTTAATGGTGTGGAGGGACTTAAATAATATGCAAGAATTGTTCCTCTTTTGTCAGTGGAAAACAAGCCCTCCTGTCCATTTCATATATTTTGGAAATAAAGTGAACAGAACTGCAGCATTTTACTTGAGTTGAGAATAACATCTCCCAAAAGATAACCTAGAGGAGCCCGTTAAGATAACCTGATCTACTGTAAAAGTACTTGTTCATTCAGACTAGGAATCAGAGGCAGCCGGATGTGTTGTTAGCCATCTCTCTCCACTGGGCCACTTGTTACAGTAACTAGTTGCTTCATGCCACTAACTTCAAAATATTTAGGATCACACAAACTTTGCTGGAGTTTAGTTAAATTTAATTATAACAGTCATTCTTTAAAACCTATGATTCCCAGATAATCAAACTAAAAAGCATCCTCTACTGTCCTAATTCCTTTTAAGCATGATGTGGCTTCTAAATTTTCCCTGAATGTGAAAGGCCAGCTTGAAAAAACTTCCATTCACAAGATCTATGCTCTGCATGAACATGTGCATCTCAGCATAGGGTTCAGGACAGCAAGGATGAGATTTATCTCCATTGACCTCTTTTTTCCCCCCAATCAGGATCATTTTCTGAGAGAAGGATCGGATCAGGGCATGAATGGTTCACGACAGTCCAGAGATTATTTTTTCAAAAGGATCCTGCCACATTACAAACACTGCTTTAAGAGCACAAAACCCGTGTTGAGACCAGACTTCAAGGACAGCACTGGCAGACTGCTATAGCAGACCTACACTGCCAAGCAGTAAGCCAGTGCAGACTCATAGGGCTTCGATATCAATGGCAATGGGCTCCTCACTTCCTGGTGGATCTGCTCACTCTGGAGGCAAAACTGCAGCTCACTCTGAGAAACAGGAAAGACTCAAAGCCAATCCTTATTAATATAGGAAAGTGAAAAAAAGCTCACACAAAATCCCTCTTTTTATTTCATGTGGCTCTATTTAGTTCCCTGGGAGATAATATCATGAGCAGACCTAATAAGTGTTCAGGAATATCCAGCATTCAAGCTTTTTACCTTTCAAGGTTGCTTCTAACCTTTCTTCATATACTTACATCTTTGTTAACAGTGTACGCGCTCCACAGAGACATCCTGTAGTCCTTGCTGTACCCACTAACATAGCGGCAATGGTAAAGGAGGCAGTAATTATGTCTCTTCTGCAGAACCCTGGGCCGTCCGTAGGGTAAAGTAAGTTTCTCTATCTTCTTAACTGCAGCAGAAATAGTGCTTGTTACATTTCAGTCAATACTGGTTGTTAAGCATCTTCCTCTTATACACCTAAGGTTGCCCCAATTTCCAATTGTCAAACAGAGAAGTCACAGTAACGGAACAAAAAATTTTTCATTCTTATATCAAAGGTGTAGCTTCTATGCTAAGGCAATAAATTAAATCACAAAGCCAGTATAAAGCAATCATTTAACTTATACTGTACAAATTAAGTTTATATTTAAAACAAAACATTTTGCCATTTAAAACAGGAGATGGATCTAAGTTGCAAAGTTAAAGTCTTTGTTGACTTTGTGTTTCAATTTAAATATATAAATGTGGGATCTGCTTCTACATAACATTTAGATGGAACAGTAACCAATTGTGGTGATTTGAAATCTGCTGAGGGGACTATTTTAGTAGAAACCATAAAGTCATATGTGAAAGTGACATTTAAAGGACTAAGAAATATAGAGATCTAAATAAACGATACAGTGAAGTACTGGTTGGATTTTCAGATGTACAAGGACTCGCTTTATAATGAGTGGGATAGTCACAAAACCTTCCTTCTCCCTCTCTCTCATGGACCACATCTCTTTAGAAAGTTTGTATACAGACTAAGTTATCTCCAAATGTTTTATGTATGATACTGCACAGGGTTTTTGGCATTGCCTGTTTATTGGCCAACTACTGCATCCAATGGAAGAGTAAAGACTTTCCTTTAAAACTGTATCAGAAAGAAGCTAAGTGGGATCAGCAGAGGGTAAGTCATTAGACAGAAGCTGAAAAGTAAAGCAGAGTTAGCAACAACTTTAGAGTCAACACCATTTTTCTTAAAGAAAAAACAAAGACATAACAAAACTGAGCCATAAGAAACACATGCCCTTGCAATCATCTGCTGCAGTCAAATGTCAGCAGAAAGTTTCAGTTTTTAACCCCTAAGGTAAACTTCAAGTTCATCAAAACATTGAATATTTAAATTTTTGCCAACTGGAAACAAACAAAAATAAGGTTTTCAAGTTTCGAGTTCTCTGATGTAAAATAAAAACTGAGGAAAACTAGCATATCATGGAGATATTTTAAAATAACAAAAATATTACTTTGCTATTGAAAATGCAAGTGTTTTCAATCATTATATGACTGGAATTATAAAGAAGGCGTCAAAGTATATTTTCCATTAAATAGGTCACTACCATCCACAAATTATGGAGAACTACAATTTCAAGTCAACTGTTTTAAATGGGGAAAAAAATTGAGCAATGAATGCTGCAGTTTTCTTCCCACAGTAATTCCACAACAGAAAAAAATGTCATGATTATAACATTTATTTCTCCACCCATGAGGGAAAAGGCAAACAATTCACATTTTTTTCATAAAACTAAAAAAGCAGTTAATATTTTGTTGTTCTTACAGGCTGTCAAGTTATGACAATCAGTGAGAGAATATGCAAACTGAGGTAACTAATAAACTCTAAATAGTCTTAAGGAGCATCTACGCTGGTTACTAGAATTCATTCATCTGTGATAATGCTTTTTATATCTGATTAATAAGTGCCTAATTCATACAATTTATAAGGAAATTACTGCTATTAAGACCAGTGCTAAGCCAGGTCTCACTGATAATCCCAGCCAAAATCCTACTGTTTCAAAAATGAAGGTTTAGAGCCTTAGGTTCCTATTTCTACAAAACGGAACTGAAATAGGTTACGTGCCTGGCCTCGCCATATTTCTTCGAAGCCGGGTTCAGCAAGGCGCTCGGGCGTCCACCTACACGTTAGCAGAGTGTGTTTCAGTGAAACCACTCACATGCTTAGGGGAAAGCACACCGCATTGTACTAACTGGATTTCACTTTGTGGCTCTCATGAGAGTTACAATACTGACAGAGTTATTTTAAAAGGGTTCTGGGACACATTTTAAAAAGATGCCCTGTCGTTAGTGGAAAAGATTCAAGAAAGCTCTATCCGCTCTTTGTGCCAGGACAAACTACACAAACCAACAGAAGCCTTAAATTAGCCCTGAATAAGCAGCAAGTACTGGATCCTGCCTATAACTGGCATTTAAGTCCAGTTCTTAATAGTGAGCTACAGCGGAGTGTCGCCAAATAGAGTTTATTTGCATAAGAAACAAGGTTTCATGAACACACACGAGGCAGGGTCTCTATCAGCCTATTTCTCTTTCTGACAGCCTAATCATCTTGATTTCATCTTTTAAGGTATTAGCACCAAAGGCTACATTCCATTTCGACTTACGGTTTTCATGATTTACTTGTTGTCTTACCTGCTTCATGCTCAAAATAGTTTATTTTGTTTCACGAGTCATGAGCACGTCTACAGCCTTGCAAACTGCAGCTGAAACATGGCACGTATATGTCCAAAGAATGTAACAACCCGACCCTGTACCCCTTATGCTTCATTAAAAGTATGCTGCCATCGTGATGTCGGTATTTGCAAGGATTTCTTATCAGATACTTCCCCATACACTGCTTTTGCTTCCCATTCTGGAATGCTCATTACTTCAGTGCTAGAAAATTCAAAAATACCAGATAATGCATGTGCCATGAAGACACATGTATAAGGACACACATTTGAGAACAAATGGTTCAGTAGGACTGTGTTTGAAAACCTCAGAACTGTAGACCCAGCGAGTATGTCAAAGAATTTTTACCTCATGTACTTGAGATTTGCTCAGAAGTTCAGTCAAACATTTTATATTTTTAATAATGCTTACGTTTTTGTTATAATTTTATATTAGTATCTAAAGTTCTTACCTTCTGTTTCAGTGAGATTTAAACGCTGATGAAAATCCCTTATTGGCAAGCCCTATAATTATAAAGCAATACCAGTGAGATTCTACTAAGTGTTCTACAAAGCATATTATGAGCCACTACTACACTTAAAGTGCCGAATGTAACATCTGCCTTGCAAGTTACCCCTATACAGAACTCACTGACATGTACTGGAGAGGGGCTACGGAGAATTTGCAGGAACAAATTGTTTTTGCCACAAGCAAATCTACAGCCTTGAAAACCACAGCCCAAACACACAACATTCACAGAAGAGAAATTTCAACATAATTAAGTGAAGCAAGCAAGAACTGAACGCTTTCCCCATCATAGCTTGCTTCCGTGGCATCTTCCAGGGTCTTCGGAGCTGAATATGACTTTACATAAGCAAACTGCAAAAATGAATATACAAATACAGGCTAGTACCCACTAATCCCTGGCAAGATTTGATTTTGAAACCAATAGTAGGGGACTGCAAAACTAGCAGGTAAAGATAAACACTGGAGAATTCAGAGTTTCACTCTTTGAATACAACACAGATGTCTGCCTCCACAGCTTTAACCATTTCAGTATTTACCCCTGTCCTGCAGGAGCAGCCAAGGCTCACTGAAAAGGCTCTTTGTCCCACCACAGAGCATTCAGAAGGATGGCTTGTTTCTTTGGGATGGTGGGGAGTGTAAACAGGGTTCCTTAAAAGATGATTTAGGCGTCCATGAGTTCCGTTGTTTGGGGCTGGTTTCAAATCAAGCAAATCTATGAAAGAATGCAAGTGATATTAACAGGATGAGAAAGACTGTAATACACTGCTGCTTGTACTGTGATAACAAGTATGGGTGAGTCAATAAAGCTGCACTGTTGCTGCTCATAACCCAAAAGAGAAAGCAATGTAACCCCTTTAGAAGGAAGCACACGCGTTCTTAGCTAGGGCTCAGGATGGTATTAGTCTGCTTGTAAAGAGGGACAGAACAAGTGCAAAAAATGACAGTGGCTTACATCTGAGGGGAAGTGAACCTGCAGCACCCAAACTTGCAGTGAGGGATAAAACGGTAATTTCAAACACATGAAGCTAGTGACTACATAACATTGCAGCTTTAGGGAATAAGTTTGGGAGCTTTTTTTTTTTTAAATTTATCTGGAAATTAAATACATAAGCTTCAGTTAATAAGCATCACTAAAGGCTAAAGCCACAAAAGAACCTAGACAGAACATAGGTTCTGCCCACCAATACTCAGAGACACTTCACACACCTTCAAAATACTGAATAGATCAAGCCCTATTTCATGCTTAATCCTCGCTAGCATTCATAGATTTGTTGTTCCTCCACCTAACTCGTACCGAATCTATGAAATAAGATATTTTCAAAACATAGCAGGTGATGAGACACACTTGTATCCAAAAAGTATCCAAAAGCTTGGTGTCTAGATCACTCACCTGGAGCACAAGAGTTAGAGCTGAACTTCCCTGCCTACCTGGGGAACTGAACACATTTCTCCCAGCACTATGCCACTCAGGTACACTTCATCCCTCCAGATGAAGCTGTTTTGCTTTGCAAAGAAGAATAAAACCACCTTTCTAATCCTAGCAGTCCCTCACACATCACACAAAGCAGTGAAAAACCAAATCGGAACCAGTCCCAGAACTCAGGTCCCCACTTCAACAGCTAATTACACTGTTATGTTCCTACTATTTTAAGCGGAGTATCCAGGAATTCACAACACCCCAGAAATCCCCAAGCCTGGGGATTTGAACACCTTGGAAAACATGAGTTAAAAATTCCCAGTTCAGACAAGACAATTAGTTGTACATATCTGGTTCTCATGCTTTAAGTGCTCAGATATTGGACAAATGGGAGACAGTCTCTCTTCTCTGGCTGCACTTTGCAAGAAGGTGCAGTCAGGCACCTCCATGAGAAACCCTAGAGACCCAAAGGACAAGTGAAAAAAGATGCCTTTCTGCAGTCCAGAAGACACCTAAGCTCTGGGCAAGGAAAAGGTTGAATAAGTCACCTCACTTCATTTTCTATCTGAAAGTTAATGCGCTGGCTTTTGCACACCCTATTCTTCTGATTCTTTCCATGCAGGATGGAGGAAATCTAGACCTCAATAACTGCACTTAAACCATCTGATCTGTCACTGAACTTGCTTCACTGAGATGGCAGTAAGGACCCTCCTACCCCTCCCATGCAGCATACACAGATAGATCGGGGGGGCACAAGAAGGTGGTTCAAGATCAACCATGGCATGAGAAGACCGCAAAGCATACAAGGCTGTGAGAGACACGCTTCCTGACAATGGCCTGTTTCCTATTCCAGCAAAGAATTTAAACACATGGTTTAAATGTGGTATACCTGAATATCGCCACTGATCTCAAGCATGCGCACTGCTCCCGTTAAGTGTTTTCTGGATCAAACCCTTTGGTAACACTTTGTCTCTCAGAGATGCAGATGTTAGAGCAAGTATAGATCCTGGCAAGAGAGAGAAGTAGGCAGGAAATAATGGAAAACAGGTGAAGACCTCAAGGGGAATAAATGAGCAGGAAGTGGTAGAACTAGTGATAGACTTCTGGAGAAACCATGAAATACAGAACAAAGGAGAAGGGACAAAGGAACAAGGAATCACAGTAACATTGTGTTTGAAAGGGGGGAAAAAAAGCAGGGCCGCAAGGTGTCCAATTTTCAGAAAGAAACACCACTTCTCTGGTGCAGTGTACTGTACAGTGTCAGAAAATAAAGTGAAGAATATCTGCATATGGAGTGTGCTGTCTGCGATCCTCAGATACAGAAGCAGACTGCATGGCACAGAAATCAATCATGAATTCTAGAGTGACACCATAGAGGCGTGAGAAACAGGAAACCTGACTATTGCAGAGACAACTTGCCCTAGAGCGAGACTCCAAAGCAATTGCACTACAGACTAACAAGACAGTTGCAGTCCAGCAAAAGACCAAAAAAAAGTATATTTGAAACACTTGTTGTATTAGACAATGAGAATGGACAGGGAAACATCCAAATCTAGTATTAAAACATACAATACATAAATTGAACAAGTGACACATACAATGATGAATTTGGGAGGAGGTTTATTATATGATTCAAGTAAACAAAAATAAAAAAATCTAAATTTTATCCGAATTAAAAACCTGTTTATATCAAGTAACTAAAATTAAAAATATGGTAAAGGAAAACAACAAATAAGAAAACACATGACATAATACAAGGAATTGTTCGAGTGCATAAAAAGCAGAGGGGGTGAATAACTCAGGCTTTCTGGAAATGAGCTGCCTGGCAGCTGCACCCATACCCATTACTATGCTTGTCATTTATTGTTCTGTCTGAATACGGTCACCTGAGTGATTAATCTGATAAAGCCTCTAGTTAGATTGAGAGAGAAATATCCCTTCTTCTTAATGGTAGAGAGATTGTGAAGTAGTCAGTTTTAATAGTGGTGAGTCAAAGCGCCAGCTCTGGAGCAGCCAGAGGAACACACAGAACGATCAGTGAAAAGGAGAGATACAAGGTGGCCTGACCAGTAGATCATAAACAGCCGTTAGTTGTTTAGAAGCTGGACCTTTCTCAGAAAAAACAAACAGCTTTTTATTAGTGAAAATCAGCAGCAAGTCTTAAGGACAAATTTCTAAGGACATTTTAAAATCTGTTATTAGAAGATTTACAATGCCCAAAAGATACTGTATTTTACTGAGCAAAGATGACCCCCATCAATTGTACTTACCACACATTAAATTATATACTTCAATGTTTTCAAATGGATCAACTTGAGTACGAAACTTGAATCCTGGTCCAAACCCAATAAAGATAGCCTAGGATTTACAGAGAAAAGTAAAGAGGAACTCTGTTTAAGACAAGTTTAAATGGAAAATATCTTCAAACTTAGAGAGCATTTTCTTCCAGGAACTTGCTATTTAGTTTACCAACATAGCATGAATCAAGTCAAGAGCATGTTTTCTTAAAAAAAAAGTAAACGTATAAGAATGATTTTAAAAAGTAGTAAAAGAGTATTAGGAAACCCGATTCTGTCTCATTATTGCCTTTAAAAAGTTGCCGTCAGCCATTTATGAAGTCCTTTGCTCTTCTCTGCTTTTGAAGAAGTTAAATTAATTTTCTTAAATGCTTTAAGAGATTTACTGGAAACGTTGAGCCAAAACCACCACATTTCATACCCTGTAAACAATTTGGAAGCTTTTAACTTAAGGCTATAAAAACATCTGTTGGTAGCAATGTTTTAAATGGTTTAAGCAATGGCAGGATCCTAGGCTTCTACGCCTGGTTTGCAGCTGTTCTTTCTGCCTTCTCCTTGCACCACTTCCTGAGCTGTACTGGCACAAGCTATTGTGTAGCCATACAGTGAACCTGATCCAGGAACGCAGCCAGCTCAGAAAACTTTCTTTTTTCCTACTGGCTCTTTTCCTTCTCGTTCAGTTCCCCGACCTACTTAACTCTGCAGCCACGTAAAGCTTACACTAGCACAGAGCGGGGTTTGCTGCAGGACTAAGAACAAGACGACAAGGGCAGCAAATGCTTAAACTCAACTGCTGCCAAGAAGATTGGTTTTAAACTTGCCCTGAGATATTCAGCGTATTTTTAATTAAGTGAAACAGATTGCACCCATCTGTGGTATCAAGATACTGAATGAGTGATGGATGCTTTGCACTCTATAGCATCTTGCTGGGTAAGATCTCAAAGCTCTTTGCAAACAACGCAATTGTCTCAGATTTCATAGCTGTGTGGCAAAAATAGAGGCTAAAAACTCAACTCTAACTTCTTTTTTGAGATTAAAGCATAAGGCAGGCTGTCATTCTGTAGTTGTTGATACTAAAATCTGTAGGCTAATAATTTACTTAACAAGCCTAATTTGAACCAGATGAAGCAGGAACATGCTACCTCTTTTCTGTTGAACTAGTTAACTACACAGTATGAAATTTACGCTGCTATAATGTGTGCTGTTAGCCACAAAAGGATAAGTTGTATCTGTTTTAAGACCAATTAGGGATGCTATGAACTGGCAATCCCAAATCTGACAAAAAGTTTGAATCGAGTCAACCTACTGAAAAAAATTTACACAGTAAACTGTAGCAGAGAGAATATACTAAGCTGGTATTTGGCATCATATGGCCTTGCTGGTTGTAAGCCATTACTATCAACAGTATCAAAACCTATCAACAGGTTTTCCATTGTCAAATCGGGGAAGAAGAGTAGGTCTGGAAGGGTAAACTGATACAAAATTAACAGAGGTTTTGGCTAACAGTTTTTAAAAATCAGTTTGATGCCAAGACTATGTAATTCCACAACACATGAAAAATAAGGCTTTTAAGAGAAATCTATGCTTTCTCTTGGACTACATGGGTCTTTTAATAAAACATGTTTTCAGTAATTTTTTGAATACAGGGTTCTCTCTTTATAGATGTGTTTAAACATATTCACTGTAATAGTACCGGGTACCTCACAACTGTTAGTGGATTTTATCCTGAAAATAGCTTTTTGAAATTAATAGTATTGCCTTTCATTTTATTGATAGCAGAAACTAAAGCAGAGGATAGGTTAACTGACTTCCCCAAATTAGATGCAGCTGACTAAGGATCTGATTTCCTGTTTCCCTATGATCGCTTCCCATTTCTCATTAAAGAGAAGAATTTAGGGACTCTCCTTATTTTAAACATGACTGACATGCTCTTTCCTGAACAGACTACCTCAAAACAGTGATACATAGTCTATCATGACACAATAGAATTAGAGTTGAGAGATCATTTAGTCAACTTTTGCAAAAGACGGAAGCAGAAGTAATTATGTTATTTCTGAAAGATGCTTGTCTGACCAGTCGTTAGGTAATTCCTGTGGTGGAAGCTCCACAGACTTCCAGGGCAAACTGTTGTACTCGTTAATGGTTAAAACAGTTTTCTAATAACCAAATTAACTCTTCTTTACCGCAGTTTAAGCCTGCTACTTCTGTTCTTAGGCACCCCCGACAACAAAGAATGGACTACCCTTACAGACCAGGGGACTGGCTGGCTCGGGAACAGCTTTGCTTACAAGGGCCTGGGTGACACAGCGGACGGCAAGCCGAACATCAGCCAGCAGCACACCCTGGCAGCAGGGGCAGCCAACAGCATCCCATGCTGTATAAAACAGAAGCTCAACCAGCAGGTTGAGGGAAGGGATTATCCATCTCTGCTCAGCATTTCTTTAGGCCACAGCAGGATACTCCACCTCCAGCGTAAGAATGACATCAACAAACAATCACTGCAAATTCAGTGGAGGGCCCCCAAGGTGGCTGGGGGCTGAAGCTCTTGCCCTGTAAAGTGGAACAGGCCTTGTTCAGCACGGAGAAGAGACTGCTTCAGGAGGACCTAACAGCAGTCCCCCAGTACCTGCAAGGAGGTCATCAAGGAGATAGAGCCATGCTCTTCAGTAGCCATACTACACAGTAGGAGGCAGAGAGACAACAGGCATAAATTGAAACGAGAAAGGTTCTGGCTGGCTATAACTAAACACATTTACACCATGAGGACAGTCAGGCAGTGGAATGGATTGGTTAGAAGTTGTGGAGCCTCTGCCCTTGGCAGTTTTGAAGGTGCAACTGCATAAAGCCTTGAGTAAACTGGTCTGATCTCACAGCTGACTCTGTTTTGAGTTGGAGGTGGAACTAGAGACCTCCCACAGTCCCTTCCAATCTGCATTCTCTTATGATCTACAGTTACTGTATTTGAGGATTTGATGAGATAAGTTTTCTTTTCCTGCTTTTAATGTTACATCAAAACAACTTGGCACAACTTTATACTCTTACCAGCACAGTGAAATCTCTGGGGTAAGTCCTGTTGGGTTTTTGCCCGACTCTTTAAGACAATGGAATCCCACCCAGTGTGGGTTACCCAGCACATCACAAAAGCAATCATACAAATGCTTGATTTCTTTAATTGCAGATGGAATAGTAACACAGATCTTAAAAAAAAAAAATCTCAACACCCAGCAACCACAACTCAGAAATAGAAGGAGCTAAAAATAAGAGCTAGCATAAGTTTCCAAGTCTCACCTGCATACTGGGGAAGCGATTGTCTGAGCCATGAAATCCACCTATGCAGCTTTTAATCTCAAGCGGTTTCCTATTAAAAATTCACAGTTTATATAACTCACACTTTACGAATGGTATCAGTATCAAATACATTCAGTGATGCATTGTTTACTTGTCTATTTAAAGATTTTTAGAGGCTTGTGCATAGGGAATAGAAAGTCTTTAAGCTCTGGAAGAGAATGCCTTTAAAATCAGAATGATAGTTTTCTCTGCAAATGTTATCCCTTTGGAATTCTCAAGGGTCCATCACAGTCATTTATCAAATGACATATGAACAAAATGTTTGTTCTCAGGATAAGAGATTTTCACTTCACTGTCGTTTGGGTAACAGAACTTTACAGTACTTGTTATAACTAGTTTCTTAAGGGTTTTTTTTACATTTTTTATTAAAAAACAAACAACGTAATTTAGAGCATTCAGCTGGGCATCTTACAGTCTAATAAAACCAAATCTGCAGCATATGCCAGGTCAATACATATTATTTAAACATGTATAGTTCTAGTAACCCAAACCTGATTTTCATGACTTGCACACGTTTACAGTGTTATACAACAGGACTTACTGAATACATGGACTGAAAAACTCTTTCATGATGAAAGCCCTGGAGTATCAGAGGTGTTCAAAATTGTATTATTATAGCAGATGCCATTATTCTGGGAGTTGTAAATTCATTGGTCTCAACATGTAAGGTAATTAACAACAGTGGGTTCAGTAAGTTCAATGTATGCCAGTGGATCGCTCACAAGACTGATTCAACCAAGTAGTTATGCACACGCTTAGCTTTCATGACTCACTTTGGAAACTCCTAAAGCATGGCAAGATGTGCTCAAGTGTCTGGCAACGGGGACCTTAGCGTCACAAAGCCTGCCACTACCTGCATGCTCAGCAGGGAGAGTATCTATAGCTGCCAGTTTAGAATTGAGCCTCCTCAGGCCAGCAAAAACTGTAGAGAAAAGCACGCATTGTTTCTTTGCAGTATCCCTTTGCTATGACAAACAAGAACACCAGGCTCCAATAGCTATCATTGAATTCTAAGCATCTGGAAGAGAAAAGCTATGAGAAAACAAGAAATTATTTGCTGTATAATCAAGTACTGAAAACTGTAACTTACCGAGCAAGCTGCCATTGGGAGTCTAAATAAAAGTGCAATGGTTCAATCCGGTCGTTATAAGAATAATGGAAACGCTTGGGTAGCAGCTGTTTCATATAAGCTTTGAAAGGCTGATTTGGTTCTATGCACTGAAATGTTTAAATTAAAATATAAAATGTACATTTCACCAAACTTTTGCTCATGTCATGCACAGTTCTTATAAAGCACTTCAGTTGCAAAGGGTCTGCAATAACTTCCACTAAGGACAATGGGACTCCATCAGGTTTGGAGTCATATGGTCTGGGACATAAATATTAATAACTAGTTAAATAACAAATACTCACTGGTTTTGCATTCAATAGTTATCAGAAGAGTATTTATATTGGATTATGGATATAACTTACTCTTTTTTTTTTTCTTACAGTCTACAATTATACAGAACCAAACAGTACTGCTTAGAATTAATAAAGAATTACACAGAGACATGAACATCATGATACTTTCAAGTGGTAGGAGACTATCCAGTGCAACAATTCTACAGCTCTGTAATACAGAAAGTAACAGACATTCAAAGGTTTTTTAGATTGGTCACTCAGGGACAAGTAGATTTTTCCACCAACTAAGATCCATTCATGATAAAAAAAAAACACAATACTGCCCCGCCCACCCCCTACCCCC